ATATATTTCTGTGTGATGAGGAGCCCCTGAAGGCTTTTGAGCAGGAGGGGCTATCAAAAAGTGATTAAAGATGCAAGACAGGGAGAAGATACAGGAGGCAGTGACTGCCATTCAGAGAAGCTGACTGTCTGAGAAGGAGGTGGGAGAGCTTGATACTAGTTAGAGTAAAAGGAGAAGACTTCAAGGACTATTTAGTTGGTGAAATCTGTAAGAATTAGAGTGGGTTTGATGTGGACGTAGAGTGTGCTGAGAGATGGGGAGGTATGGAGATCAGATACTCACAGGTTTCTGGTTTGCATGCAGGAGAGGTGGTGGGCTGAATCAGAAGATCAGGAAATCTATACTGCAGGGAATACAGTGATGGTTGCAAAAGGCATCTGGTATTGTCCTTCTGCCACTGTCTTAAAAGGGATTCTAAAGGGATTTTCTTTCCCTTGTTCCTCCAGCCCTACACTTGCATTACTGGCCTAAGTGGATACTCACCAGCTGGCTGTGTCCATCATTACGGCCAAGTCTGAGGATTCCTGATTATACTTAGAGTCCGTGGAGCTGCTGACACAAACAGTCATTAGCAGACAACCCTTTTGTAACAAACTATGCTTTAAAATGTAAACTGTGGGGGGCATTTTCCTTGCGTTGTCCAGAAAGAACTTTCTCCTGCCTGAGCCTGGATTAATCATGAGAGAGTTTGTCAACATTCCACTGGTACATATTCTTACTCTGGTTGCCTTCAGCGGGACTGAGAAACTTCCAAAAGGTTGGTTTGAGCAATCCTGTCTTCTTGTTGCCTTGTCACAGCTCTAATACGTGTGTGTGCTCTGATCATGACTGATTCATAGTATGGGGGGCTTGGGTTTTACTTGGTGAAGTAGGGGTGGAATGTATGGAAAGGGAGGAAACTATATACATAAGCAATTGGTTGATGGATATTCCCCTCCTATGTTCTGCAAGAAAAAGTTTAGCCATACAGTGAATCCAGAGCCCTCACTTCTAGGGGAAATGTTAGCAGGTAGACTACAGATTATTAAGATCTGTTTTGTTTATGTGTATGTCAAACTTCAGGGTGGTCTAGATGAATAATCAAAACGTTTTCACATCAGATTTGCCAGGAATATAATTAACCCCACCCCAAGAATGTTTGCTTCTGAACAAAAATAATTTCCATTTTCAGTTTTAGTTTTACAAAACTTTTAATAAATATTTTAGTTGCTAGAAGTCAAAATTAGAGAAAGACACACAATTTCTGTATATAATAAAAGCCTGAAGGTTCTCAGTAACTTTGAGGCTGGAGACACGGTTAGGCTTGGCAAGAGACTGCAAAAGTTTTTTCAGAGCCTTTGGAATGTACCGGAAATAACACCACCTCGGGGGAAAGGAAAGCAACTTAAGAAACTGACAAACACCTGTTGCAGTAGCAAGAATGTCCACAGTGTATGGTTTCTGGCCAGTGTACTATGAAACTGAGACCAGTGTATTTCAAATCAGGAAGACTGGAAAATACATGATTTGCAAAGTGACTGAGGGCTTCACTGAAATCTTTTGAAAAGAAGATATGAGAAAGCAGATTGAATGGTATCAATTAAAGTAAAGAGTTTTCCAATTAAATGTATTGCAGTAGAGTAAAAGAGTTCTGTGTTTTAGGACACATTAAAATTAATAATTTTCTCTTTCTATTACTTCATCAAAGTACTGAAAAAGTTTGTATTGTGTAAATAAATTGAGGTAGCAACTATATGTAGATGAGAGACAAATCTTTGATTTTGTGGTTCACTAAAAATTCTAGCGCCACAAGGTCAAGGTTCACAAGCAAGTAAGATATGGCTTACTTCCCAAACAATCCGATTTCATGGATTTATTATGTTTTGTTGATTTTTTTCCATTTTTCTCCAGCAGAATCTTCAAATGTACTTAAGCATTCAATTGCCAGTACTTTAAGGTATCTTCAGATAAAAGAGACTCTAGATCTTTTCAAACAGCTAATAATAGCCAGAAAGACTTAACATTGGCTTCAGATTATTTTAGTACTTCCTGATCATACAACGGATGTCCGGTAAGGCAGCACCTGGATGTTTGGACTTATGGATTTTCATACATCTTGTTCATGTTTTCCTAAACCATGTAGTAATATAAAAGTGACGTGGGTAAATACAACCTAGTCTTATAAGGAGCAGGACAATTGATTCTGATGGTCCAAGTTAGAATCAGGCACACAAAAAACAGAACAAAACCCAAAACTTTTCTATATGAATAACTTCTAATTTATATTCTAGAAAGAAATGATTTTCAGTGTCCAAACTTTACAGATAAAGCCCTTAATTCAAAACCACACTATTTCTACTTTGAAAGTTTCAAAATACAGTGGCGTAGAGGCAACAAAGCTAAACATCCTGGCTTTTTAATAAAATAATCAGATCATTAATCCAACTTTATTTCTTTTAATTTATTTACCACTATATTTAGGTTTAATTTTTTTTTTTTAAATCAGTATTTTTCTCTTAGTCTACTGCGTGTATTGTAAAATCTAAGTCTACTAACTCATACTAGGATTTAACATCAACCTTAGTCAAAAATACCATTTCTAGGAGAGCAGACAAACATTTTCTACATGCGCCACTTCTGAGAATAAATAATATATGAAAACACAATTCTTAAAATTTTAGATGTTGAAGTCTATAAAATATATTGGTAAAAAACAACCACAATAACATGTTATTATTTTAATACTATTGAAAGGAATTAAAATGTTCCCAAATCATCTCATTATTACTTTCTCTATTCTTGGCAGGAGGTAATAAAAAGAGTTGTTTAGATGGTATACTTTTTCCTAAGTCTTTAATTATGATTGAATCAAGGAAATTGTACAATAATGTATTACAAAATAAGTTGACATACTTAAAATAGTGCAAGATTATGCAGAGGATTCTTTCCTAACTCTGCACACCATGTCCTCAATTAAATGAATAACCAATTTCGTGGAATTCATAGTTTATTGTTTTAATTTTAGTTTGAGACACTTAATGTTCAAAGATCAGGGGAAAAGTCATTTTCTTTATGAACCATTTCAACTCAAAATGATCAGATCAATTTCATAACCCCAAAGAAGAAAATTTTACAAACTGTCATATATGAAAGTATCCAACATTTGATTGAATACTTGCTTTAGCTACATGCTTCATAACATTTAATACTTTATCCAAGAGTATGGTGGGGTATTAAATTCTATGTGAGTGTAGGAGTTCATGTAAGGAGTACTGGCTTTATTTAATATGCACAAAGAATTTCTGTCAAAACCCCACTTTCAAAATTTCCCCATTTACTACCATACCTAGAAGTTTTTGAGTCTAGGTGATTTATCTTTACACATATTTGAGTAACCTCCTCTTTAAATAATATGTATACAGGGATAGGATTCACAGATCCAGCATATGACTAAGTCAGTACAGACACAGCTGTCATTGAAATCCAGGACACCAAGTTCTGGATGATGTTTTATACTGACGTGCATTGAAAGAGTTACTCATTGTGTGTTTGGGGAAACACAGTTGCTTTAAATATTATTGACCTTGGGGAAAAAAAAGGAAATGTGAAGATTTCTTTAATTTCTACCTGATTTCCAAAGGTGAAATAGGCAACTTCTCAGCAAAACAGGACTTGAGGTCATTGGCAGAAGAGGGACAAGTGAGCGGTGGGAAGGGGACCTAAAGGGAGTGGTCCCATTTAGGAAGATGAGAGAAGGATTACATGGGCCATGCTGAGGACCCAGCTGGGGCTGGGGACTGCAGCTGCATATTGGCCCTGGCCTGAACAGTTGTTGCACTTTATCCAGAGGTCCTATATGAGCATAGGGGTAATGAGCACAGATGGTTGGATTACTTCAGGATTAGTGCTTTCCAGGGTCAGTGCAGCTAAAGAACTAGAGAGTAAAAGGGTTGGTTACATGGCAACATACCAGAGGGCATATGTTGGATAATGAAGAGAGCAAAACAAGGGCATCTGAAGCTTGGAAGAAAATGTTGAGATCACATTTTCTTTTCCTAGTCCCCAATTTCTTTGTATGTGTCTGTAGGGAAAGCACATAGTGTCTGTGACCCTCAGTTTCTTCATAAAATGAAGAAGTGACTAACGGTACTCAGCATACATGGTTACATATTATGCTGAGGATTTTCAATTATTGATGTAATGATTACTCCTGAGATATACGCATGTTTTAGATGGGTTCCTATGAGACCATGTCTTAACCCAAAGGAATGCCCCCAGGGGAGGCAATTTCAGATCATCTCACAGGCTGAGAAGAACCTCTATCTGCCTGTACTCAGTGCAATTTCTGATGGCAAGGACCAAGAGTGTGTCCTGTGGCAAGAATTAAAAATACAGCATTAACGAGTGGTTATTGAGCATTATTATCAATGAACCCTACATGTTACAAAGACATCATAATAAAAATAATTTTTACTTTATTACATCTTCAGTTAAATAAATGTGCCAGTTCCTAAGATATACCATATGATGAGCAATACTGAACGTCCTCTTTGGGAGATTGAAAAATCTCCAACATCAAAGTGTTTTCTCATACTGAAGAAAACAATACTGCATTCATGATGTTAGAGAAACATGAATATTATTCAAGTCTGAGCCCTAATTTTGGTAAAACAGAAAGGAGCAAATACACCTGGCTTCTTTGTGTACCCAATCCTTTGGTCACGTCAATCAGAAGTTGATGTGTCAATGGTTATGTGCTAGAGCCCATAAATACAAAGGAAGGGATAATATCATGTCCTTCACATCGAGCAGCTCGTATTCAAGTTAAGCTACTCTTTGGGTCCAGCAAAGTGTTATGTTCACTTTCATGTATTTGTTATTCATGTAGTCCTTGGATTGAGAGAAGAGAGACTGCCCTAGTTTAAACAGGTTCTGGCTGAGATGAAAGCTGGAGAGTGGAGTGAAAGTAAACAAGAGACCGTTTGCTGAGTCAACAAGTATCATTAAATACAACTATGGGATTGTGTCAGTAAAACTTTGAAACAGATTTAAATGATGTTGGAACATGGGCAAAGTGAACTTAACCAACTACATTCTGCCTTTAGAAAATGAGGTTGATGTAAATCTTTCTTTTTTTCCTGTCTGTGTATAACCAGTAATATCCTAAAGACACAGCATATCTTCGAGTTGAGACAGGAACTCTACACCAAGCTTAACCTTGAAGTTCACCCCTAGCATTCCTACTTTTGCGATGTTTAGACAAGTTATTTCATCATTCTTAGCCTCCAGTCCTCATCTACAAATGGGAATATTAATAGTATCTACTTTTATGTTTGCTGTGATCAATAAATAATATAATGAATGAAAAGTATAATACATGGCACATAGCAGGTTCTAAATCAATTTTAGATGCTAATATTATTAAAAACAGAGTCAAACCTCATGTAAGATTGTCATGTCACTGAGCATCATGGGAAGGTGTTAATAAGGTTCTTAGTAACATCTCACGTACTTCTCCATGTCTAAGTTTTTCAAGACATTCTGAGACTTCTTTGATCTCAACTGATCTCAACAGTTTTTGTCACCTCGTTGGAAAGATAATATTAATAATAAACCTGTTAATTAATAATAAATCTGCTACTTCTGCATCTGTGTATTGACTAAAAAGGAACTAATGAATAAAGTTTTTTTTTTTTTTAAAAAAAAAAAAAAATTTTTTTTTTTTTTTAAAAAAAAAAAAAAATTTTTTTTTTTTTTTAAATAACACATGATGTTTAA